CTTTGGAAGACTCCCCTAAAATCTACTCTCAGACCCTAAAATCTAGGGGGGCAGTCTGGCCGCGAGACCGCTCGAATCCCTGGCTAGGGGTTCGAGGTGGCCCCCACCCTGGGGCCTCCCATCAAAGGGACTGCTGCAGAAGACGCCCAATCGAAGGTACTTCACAACTTTGACGTACAACATGTACATGTACAGCTGTAGAGCGTGCGGCCGACGTGTCCCGCTGATCCCCGAGGTCCCCACCCATCCCCACCCATCCCCACCCATCCGCCATCCCCACCCATCCCCACCCATCCCCACCCATCCCCACCCATCCCCAGCTCGCTCTATCACACACCCCAAGAGCCCTCGGGGAAATCCGTTCGCCATACGCTCCGAGCGGCGGATGATTGCTCGAAAGCCGTGAAAATCTTCGCGAGCACGCCAGTCAATCGATACCGGCGCTGGTGCACAATGGCGGTCGCCGACGGCGTGCGCTCCTGCCTTGGGCGGAGCATGAGCTGTGTCTGGCAGAGTATGTCATCCGCGCCGCCCGGTCCGTTTCCCCTGTCCGCCATGCTCGCGGTGGGCATCGCCATCGCCGGAGTCGCCGTTGCCAGCGTTGCCGTGGACGACGCAAATGAGCTCCTGGGCAAGGGCAACATGGTGAGCGTCATCGCCATCGTGTCGATGGCGGTCGTGATGGTCACCCCGTTGCTCGTTGCTGTCTACGGCCTCTACTGCCGCTGCATCTTCCTCCGCGACCTGCCCACCGAGGACGAGAAGCAAGAGGCGCGCGAGTCGCGTGGCCGGCTCGGCCGCGTCCTCTCGTGCACTCGCGGCTGCGCGTACAGCATCGCCGTCTTCCTCCTCCACCTGCTGACGATCGCCTCGCTCGCTATCAGCGTAGCGCTCGTGCTCATCATGGGCACCGGCTTCATCGTCTCGCTCGCGGGCGATGAAGGCTGCTCGCAGGCGAAGCAGAAACCACAACCTGCGCCTGTCATCACAGCCCTGCACCGCCTCCCTCCGAGCTCCGTCCATGCCCGCCCGCCTGCCGCCGCAGGTCTCTGGCCCGCTCACGACCATCATCAACGCCATCGAAACGGCGCGAGAGCCCGCGGCGCCATGCCCCGCACTCTCTGGCGCCATGTGCCCCGGAACCCTCTGAGAGGGACACCGTCGCTCCGGACTCACTGCGACACGCCCCCCCGCCGACAGGTGGAGCCGGTGCTGGAGACGCTGAAGGACTGCAACTTCACCAAGGAATGCAACTTCACCGTCGCGGACGTCTGCGACACGCTCTACGACAACAACGTGACGGATATAACGGAGAACTGCAACGTCGTGGCCGGCGGACTCAAGGTCGCGGACGAAATCCTCGGTACCTGGCCTTTCAACGTGGACGCGCTCGAGTCGAGCGCGAGCAAGATGGGCGCGCGCCACCACACAGCGACGCGCACCTCCCCCCCCCCCCCCC